GCTTATTGAGAAAGAAGAGACATGAATGATAACCTCTTTTAATCACACTCAAGGTCATTTGATGCAATTGGGATTATCACAGAATTTAATACTTATTTACTATTGTTTAGATAACTAGTTGCTTTTGTAAATTAATGACCAAAAGAAGGGAAACTCAATTCGTGTCTGTCAGGTATCTGGCATTGGACACTTACACATTATTTTACCAAAGCAATCATTATTATACCATTTTATAACCAAAGTCCTAAAAGAGCTAGGATCTTGCCCAAGGACTCAGTCAAAACCTTTTTCTACTAAATCAGAATCTGTAAAAGACAACAAATCACTTCCTCACTACCAATTGGATTAGTTTTAAAGTCAGATCAATGTAGACATTTTATTCTTATAAAGGTGTCTCCAGGGCTGATGGTATGGATCAAGTAACAGTATAATTCATTCTTTTGTTGGGGAGCCTTGAACTCAGAACATTGTGCTTGTTAGACAGGCACTCTACCACTTGAGCCACAATCTCCAGAACTTTTTGCTTTGGTTATTTTGGGGTAAGGGTCTTGCCCAGGCAGGTCTGGATCTCCATCCTCCTATTGGTGCTTCCCAGAGTGGCTGGGGATAACAGGTGTGAGCCACCAAGCCCAGTCATTGATTGAGATGGGGCCTCACGAACTTTTTGCCAGGGTTTGGCACTTTGGCCTGAAACAGATCTTCCAGGTCTCCACTTTCTGCCTCCTCAGTAGGTAGGATGATGGGCTTTAGCCAGCGCCCCCTTGTGTTTCATTTTGGATTCCACACTTAGTGCGATGTTGGGCATTACTTAACTACCTGTGTGCAAAACACCGTGTGAAGTTGCTCTTGAGGTCTGGTCTCCTAACACGGCGACATGCTAAATAGTTGCTCTCTCTGCTTTTTTCCCACCCTTTCTCCTTCCTCTGCCTTGGGTGGTTAACAGCGGGGCGGGTGGACAACAGAGCCTGCCCTGACCTAACGATCACGGCGCGTGGAGCCAAGTCGCCGGGAGGAAGCCAGACGACTCTCAGGAATGCCGCTGGCACCGAGTTTCCAGGAGAGAGCCAGAAGTTGGAGGAAAGGATGCAGAGCTAAGAAAGCATCTTCGGCTGGCAAGCGGCGTCCGGCCCGCGTCTGCGGTGCCCGCGGTGCAGCAGCAACCCAGACCTTCCCTGGGCGGCGGCTCTGCGCCTGGCTTGTCCGTTGCGGTATTTGTACCCGCTGTCGGGAGCCCGCGCCGGGAAAGTACCGAAAGAAGGCCGTGTCGCCCGGACTCAGGGCTGGAGCCTCCTTCCTACATCTGCCGACGGCCATAAACTCTTCTCCCAGGCAGAAAAACCGAGGAAGACCTTTTCCTTACCCCGCCTCCCCGCTCTTGGCGGCGCCCACCCCACTCTCAACTTCTCTCCTCATCTGGGGCACCCGGCCCCTGATCGGCTTCCTGATTGATGCACAGGGCGCTGGACCAGTGCGAGCCCCACCATTCCCAACGGAGTGATGCGGAAAGCTTTCTTGCCTGGGAATGCTCTAAGCTTTCTTGCCTGGGAATGCGCTGAGAACCCTCTTGCAGGGGGTTTGAGTCCAGGGCGCCCCGATTTCTCTCCTCCTTAGGAATCTAGGGGAGCCAGCACCAGCCTCTCCCTAATCAACCCAGTTCTTTAAATCATTACCTGATGATTACAGTTATCTTTGAGGGCACAGATGAGCCTACAAATGTCCTGGCACCAGGAACAAATCTTTTATTTTCTGAGGACTAGTGGTTCGATTTCCAGACTGGCCATTAAGTATTAAGAATCCATCGCCATCCTGGAGCGAATAGAAAATTGCATCAAGCCGGAGCGCAGAACATGCAGCCTCTTAAGACAAACATTCTCTGCAGCATTTCCTTTCGCTCTGCGTGAACTCTTTTTGTTTCCCTAGGAAGACAGATCTCTAAGAGTGATGCTCAGAAAGTCTCCCTCCAGCAGCAGCAGCAACAGACAGAAACTTGTGAGCAATACCAGTTCTTGGGCCCAACCCCAGACCTCTTGAACCAGCATCTCTGGAGGTTGGAACATCCAGGTGATTCTGGAACATCCAGCAGAACCACTGCCTTAAAGTCCCCCTGGCAGTGGATTCATTAATCATTAAACATTTAACCAGTGGGTACCAGAGCTCTGATTTGCTTTAGAATAAACACTCTGATTTGCCAGTGGGACACCTGCTAAAACCACACCAAACATGTAAAGTCATATAAAGAGACAGGGAGGGAGAGAGAGAGAGGGGGAGAAAGAGAGAGAGAGAGAGAGAGAGAGAGAGAGAGAGAGAGAGAGAGAGGGAATTTCCTTTGCTACGGCACAGTATGAATGTGTCTGCTCCTCCTGAGAACTCACTATGACACTTTTTGAAACACTTCATTCTCCTTCCAGGCATCTATAAGTGTCCATGGGGATTGTCCTGGTTCTTTCTGTGTCTTCTAAGATCACTTCATAACCTAGAAGCCACAGGACAGTTCCCCACTCCTTGTCCCTGGCTCTACTGGCTTGGAGCAAAGGGGCTCTCCAACACTTGCTTTTCAGCTGCTCCTCAAATGGTGACATCATGGGAACTTGGGTGGGCACCTGGTAGACTGGGAGCTACATGTTTTGGGGAAAGATGCTAGGAGAGCAAAAGGTGCAGAGAAGCTGGGCAGGATGAATGTGGGCCTATGGGGAAGGAGACATGTTTAGATTGAGTGTGTAGTGGAGGTGTGTGTTTTGGGGGGTGTCACATTGTCATATCCTGGGGCTACTGGTAGCCACAACCCAGACATTCCCTCCTCCACTGTTCTCTCTACTTAGTCTACAATTGTAGGATCTATCAGGACCTTTGCTGAGCTCCTGATAGGTCACTGTGTCATCATCAGCAGACATCAGTGTCATCCTTCTATTTGCAGCTCTTAGGCTTTCTTTGTTCTCGGAATTTTTCTGAATTTTGTATTTCTAGAAGTCTGGACAAATTTGAAGGACAAGGTGAGAATGATTTAACATTGCATCAAATAGATGCATTTTAGGGTCCAGGCATAACTCAAGTGGTGGTGCTACTTGCCTGGTAAGTGTGAGGTCCTGGGTTCAATCCATCAATACCAGACAACAAAAAGCAAACAACAAAAAACCCCCAAACACTATGTTTTAGTTCATGCAATAAAAAGACATACATCTTTCTGAGCTTCCTGCTTGAGAGACTTTCACTTTGGGTCTAAGCATACATAGTTCACCCCCTGCACCTTCCTAAAGTAGTCAACATTTCCACATAATCCTTCTGTATAACATTTGAGCCACAACAAGGTTTTGTGCAGTGAAAGAAGAAAGCACAAGCATTGTTGCTGTCATTGTCATCATCTTTATTTGCAAAAATGAGAACACTGAGAATCTAGACTTTTGAGGAAACAGCTGGCTGGATGCAGAAGCTGGGACTTGAACCCACTGTTCCCTATTTACCACCTCCTACCTCCTGCCCAGAGCCAAGGTTTCAAATTAGAGGTAAGAGGCAGTTTGGATCTGTCAGAGAATGAACAAGAAGTTTCTTCTCTATGCTCTATGACTGTGGGAGTAGTCAGAATTTTCAGCATTTATTTGGTTTGTAAAAAAAAAAAAAAAGACAAGAAACTTGGAAAATATGCTGAACTTGAAAGGCAAACAACTGAATCGTGCTGGTACCAGTCTTCCGGACTTGAACTCTGGATCAGTGAGACAAGGGCTCTGGGGGATTTGGATAAGGCGACTTTGGCTAGAAGCTTGAAATGGGCTTTGAAAGTCAAGTTGCGGTGCAAGTGAGGGGTGCCCTGACACCTTGAAATGTCCTCCAGCGTGCAAATGACATGGCTGAAGGATCACCACAGTTACGGATCTCAGAGAATGGAGAATTGCACTTGGTAAAAGAGGCAACTCTCCTGCACAGAGTGCATCAGACTGGGCTCACTGATTCCCCAGTCCTGACAAGCTCAGTGGAATCCCTTCCGGCAGGCCAGGCGTGGGCTCCCCGGCTCTACTCCCCCGCCACCACGGCCAGCAATCTTTGGGGTTGGCTGGACTTAAGTGTAGGAGAGGACTGGGGAAGTCCTAACACCAGGTACCAAACTAAACCCAGAAAAAGAAAAAAAAAAGGTTGTTGGGGGGGAGGGATAGAAAATACAGAGCAAATGAAGCGGAAGTTTCAAGCCCTCTGCGAGGAATAACAGTATAAATAACTGAAGACGTCTTGTAAACACTGCGGTCATAACCCCGAACATTAAACAGCCACGGTGGCATCTGGCGCGTTGGCTGCTCGGGCTGCGCTGGGGCAGCCAGTGAGCCCGATCCCAGGCTCCTCGGCCTCGCCTCTCTGTTTATCTCAACTTAATCTTCTCCTACGAGCTGTTCCTAGCCTGGAAGATGTTTAAATTAAGACCCAGCCCGCAGGAAGTCGTGGCAGGAGCTGAACGCAAGGGTTAACTGTAAAGGAAATGCAGCCGGGTACATTAATGGTTAGAATTAATTAATGAATTATTAATAAGAACTGTATATGATATGTTGAAGGACTTGGAAATCATACAGCACATCCTAAAAGTTATGGCATTGATACTGTTCACAAGCATGGATTGCTGGGAACACATCCACGCCTGGAGAGTCTTGTTATCAAATGTGGAGTTACTTCTCTGCTCATGTCCTCAATTATTCTGTAAAGTAGTTGAAAATCGCATTTTCTTTTCCTGCTGTGTCTTCTATCTTGAACTGGATAGCTAGTAACTTCAGTCATGCTCATTCTGTTTATTGGTACAATGTTTCTAGTGGGCTTAAAAATAACTTGCAAGAGTTTCTTTTCATGATTTCAAGAACAAAATAGGATCTGTACTTTTCTAGTGGAAATCATACTTAATCTTTTACTAAAAGCTTGAATTGCGGTTTAAAAGAATCATTTTTAAGCTCAATTTTCCCCCATAGTTTCTTACTTTTTTCTTCCTTTTTTAAAAAGAAAAGTCACACCAATGCTAGGGTTTTTGGCAATATAAAGGAAGATTTATTTTCGAAAGTAGCAAAACTTTGTTTGAAAAAAATATATCTTTGAGTGAATTACTTTATAAATGTGACTGTCAAAGTCAGCTATTCTATGATCTACATTTTACAACATATTGTACAAAAGATACACATTGATAAGCTCTTATTATCTATTTATATATATATATATATAAAATTACATATTGCACTTGGACCAGCAAGGCTCACAGAGTCATTCACGGTAGAAGTTAATAAAGTTAAATAGATGGGAATCTGTAAGTACAATTGATCTCTGGTTTGGAAACGAATCTCCTCGTCGCTGTAAAGTGTTCTCGCGGGGTGGGATGGGGAAGCCGAGACGCACAGCAGGGCGGACAGGGGTCGCCTCCAGGGGCCCGCTCCCCCCGGGAGCGCGGCTGTCCCAGACTCGCACTTCCAAGGTCAGGACGCTGTGGTTCCACATAAGCGGCTTGCTGTCACCACTTCTTTCAGGTCATTCTCGGGTTTCCCCGCCGCCATAAAGGGCCACGTCTGCAGGAGAGAAGAGGGTGGAAGAGGTAAGTGGACTTGGCGGAGGGGGGAAGGGTGGGTCGGGGGCGGGGGTGGGGGTGGGGGTGGGGGAGAGACAGAGCGGGTGCGGTGGGGGCAGGCAGCGAGCCTGAGAGGCCAGTTACCTACCCCTGCAATTTACTCAGGGTCCTACTGCGCCCCGCAGCTGACTAAAGCAAAAGGCTCGAGGCGGTGGGAGTGGGCTTTTTGAAAAACAGCAAAAAGGGCCCATTCTGGGTTCCAAGTGAAACCCTGGAGAGGAAGCATTCAGAGTGGCCAGGTTGTGCCACAGTCCCGGGCAGATGCTCTTAGGAGCTGGAGCAGGGCAGCCCAGGAAACGGTGCGCCCCCGGGCACCGGGTTCCCGCGGAAGTGCAGTCTTGGTCTCTTTGAGGCCCTGGTCAGGTTTCTGGGTCTCCTCGCCTTCACTTCCATCTAGCGCCCAGTGCAGACTTCCGTTTCCTCCATTACAAACCCCAGCTTTGACTTCAGTTTTAAGTTAATCACTAGCTCTGAAGAGGGAAAATGCTAATAAAAGAATCACGAACATTTTATCTAAGATAATTTTCCCACTAAGAGAAGGCAAAGCCTTTCTTTTTCCAGACTTAATTATTAAAAAAAAAGCACTCAGATTTTTAGTCAAAGATGAAAAAGCAATTGTAAACACTCTAGACAATGATTTCATTTTAGTTCTAGATTTTAAAAGACTACGCAATTTATTTAAAAAAAAACCTTTTAATTGGAGGGAAAATAGTTTTTCATGGGAAAAATGTGGTTTTGCATCCCCTCCCCCCAATCTGTGAGACCAATTTGGTAAGAAGTCAATTCAGACCTCTCTCACTAGTGCTGGTCGATAAGATTGACTTTTAAGAGAAAAATCTTATCCTTATCATACATAAACAGAAGTTCTAGTAAGTCGTTTTTCTGGAGAGCCTGCAAGTTTTAAAATGAAATTAAATAAAAGAAGAATTAAAATCTATTTCCACAGCAGTGAGATGCACTTGTGAAAAATTGTATTTAAAAAAATTAGGCTCTATGGATATTAGTTTTTAAGAAAATAAGGTAACGTGTTTTTTTAAATTTTAGAAGCAAGCAACCTATTATTGTTATATTATTAAATACACTAATATCTGAGCGAGTTTCCTGATAATGCCAGATATTTGCCAGAATCTTTAGGATTTAACAATGTTAATCCACTTACAGGAGAAGCACGGAGTATTTAAGTAGTTGGGGGGCTTACATGATGATTATGGGGGGGTGGGGCATGAATGTGTCCACATCTAATGGTCCTGGGAAAGGCGGGTTGAATGTTTAGAAGAATTAGAAGGCAAAGTTAAGTTTTTACTTTCAGCTAAAAGAATGAAAGGATTGATAAGATGTCTCTTAGGGTAGCGTCTTGTCAGTGTTTCCTGGTCCTTCACTGCAGCGGGAATGGCGCTGGCTGGGGCGCGGGGACCCCTTCTCTTTGCCAACTGAATACCCTTGGAATTCCCTTACTGAGCTGCGACGTCAAACCCTTGCATAAATCACTCGCGATCCCGCTGCACATAGAGGATAGAGCAAGAGCGGCGTGGCGATCGCCTGCAACTGGTCCCTAGAGGCGCTAGGCCGGCGGTGGCCCAGGTGTGTAAGTGACAGGAGCTCCCGCCCTGCAGTGCCAGCCCCGCGCCCACGCGCACGGGCACACGCTGCGAGCACCCTCGGGCTGCGCGTGGGGACTGCAGCCACAGAGGCGCTGGGGGACTCACCAGGTTGACCGGGTGGATGTAACCGTTCTCGTACTTGTCGTTAGCCAGGATCTGCCTCAAGTGGGCGATGTAGCTGGATGCCAGCCTGAGCGTGTCCAACTTGGAGAGCTTGGTGTCCGGGGGCACCCAGGGTAGGGTGGTCTTGAGCCTGGAGAAGGCCTTGCTCAGCACCCGCATGCGGGCCCGTTCACGCGCATTGGCCGCGTTGCGCTGGACCTGCTTCCCCTCCTGGCTGACTCCACTCAAGGGGCTTTTTTTGGGCGGTGCCTTCCTCCTCTTGCCCAGGCCTCCACGGCCCTTCTGGGGAGACCCGTTCTCGCAGTTGGAGCTCTCCTCCGTGCTCTCGTTGGAAGTCACAAACTCCTTGTTCGAGTCCACTTTCAGCCCGTCACATTCCAGCATCTCCACCTCTTGAAGATCCTCCACATCGCTGAGGGACCCAGTGGACATTTTGGGGGGTGGGGGCGTAAGGAGAGCGAGAGAAAGAGAGAGAGAGAGAGAGAGAGAGACCCTGAAGCAATGGGCCTCTCAAGTATGTAGCAGCACCTCAGTGTTGGGTACTGGAGTTGGGGGTCTGACTCTGGCTGCTTTGGTCTCAGCCCTTCCTCTTCGCAGAGTTGTGAAAACGAACCGCCAGAGCTTCTGTTAGAAGGAAAAAACCAGTGCTCTGTCTCCCCACCCCCGGAGTCCTGGCCGTAGAGGAGTGTGAGAGAGCGCTGAGGAATTTGGTGGACACTAAGAATTTATCTGGGGAATAGAGAGGCGGATCCATGCAGCCCAGGGGAGGGGCCTGCTAGGCCCAGCTTCGACCCCTTTCACCAGCCAGGAGACTCTCCCGCACAGACCCTGATTTCCAGATTGAAATGTAAATCCACTTAATTGTAACACACACCAACCAGTCTGCTTTCACTCTGGCCCAAGCCAAGGAAGAGCAAGCCCTACTCTCAGACCCTCGCCCTGGCCATCTCCTAAGGTCTTCTTTTCCTCTGATTTGATTCTTGCTGATTGTTGCTGAGCACTTTAGGAAAATGTCTAGATCCTTTGCTCTTTGATCTTTCCACCTGACACATCTCACAAGCTCACTGTTGGCTTGTGAAAAAAATCCATCTCTATCTGGTCACTTCAAAGGCATCAATGAACTTCCAGTGTGTACACAAATACTCTTGACCACTGCATACCCACACACAGGTTAGTGAGGATGGATGGAGAATGGGATAGGGTAATATGGATGTGGGGAAATATTTTATTCACAAACCGCGAATTTTTTCTAAAAAAATGAAAACTTTCCTTGCAATTTCTTTCCAGAAATGCATTTCATATAGTCTTAAAAGTCTTAGTTGCTCTCAGACATCACTTTGCCCTGGGACTTCTTGTGATGCAAACTTCCTTCCAGTGCTGCAGTCTTCCTCTTCTCCTCCCATCCTCTTTGCTGCCAGGGCTTTTCTTGTAAAACTGACATTAAAAAACACAAAGCTGGATTGTAGCATTGGGAAAGGTTCTTTTCTATCCTTAACCCCAGCTCGGACCATCTTTCCTAGAGATTAAGAAAATCTGCTGGAGTGTGAGTAGGCAAGCAAAGGGAGCCAGAACTCAGGGCTTGGATGAAATTGATGCCACAAAATCAGGGAGACCAAGTGCATGGATCTCTTACTAATTCTGTGCCAGGTTTTCTTTCTTTAAATTAGACGTCAAGGATGAAGGGCTGGAGCAAAACTTAAGAGCATCTTCTGAGCATTTGGCTCAGAGTCTGAGTCCCTCTGCTACATTAAGATATCATATCTCAGATCTTGGGCTCAGCTGGGAATTCACTAACCTCTAACGTTTTGTTTTGTTAGCAGGGTCTTGTTTGCTTTCCCCCTATGCTGTAAACTAAACAGATTGTCAGCAAATCAGTCTTTATTAATGAATTAGCGAACCTCCCCCCTATAATATCTTTGCTGAGGATCCAAAATTTGTTAATCACCACTGTAGAGATTTATGAGCTCTTATTTTCTGTTGTTTGTGCAGGTGGAGGTTTAAATGACCATATCCACTCCTAAGATTTATTGCAAGAGTGATTGATGTTATAAACCAGGAAAAGGACTCTTCCCACAGCGGGGATGACAGAAATATCAAGTTGAAGTTGCCTTTGTCTTCATGCACAAATGACCCAGGACTACAACACAGAAACTATAATAATTTAATCTGAGGCCCAAAACAACATAAAGAGAACATCCAGTGGGTCTGTTAGAAGTTTATCCACTGATTCCCAAACTAGTTTTCTTTGATTTGCCCTCCCTTTTTCTTAGTCTTGGTAAGACATGAAAGTTAAAGTTATTTTTAAACTTAAGAGCTATGTGAAAATGGGCATTAGCCAGTACTTTATAAAATATGTGTGTGTGTGTGTGTGTGTGTGTACTGAGAACTCTACAAAATGACCACAAATCATATGTGTGGACTCTGGAATAGGATGATAATTAAGTATCCGAAATATGGCCAGGCTATTAGCGGTGACAATTTTTCTTCTTGGAGTCACATATTTTTCTTCTTTTATTTTTTTGATTCTCATTCTGTGCTACATCTCAGTGGACAGGCTGTTCAGGCTATTTGGGGGACAGTGATAGTCACATTAATATGTACCACTGAATAGATGGCTGTTGTCTGTGTGTTTTTTCATGGACAGAAACTTAAAAATAGCAATTTCTAGAAGGGTGCAAAATTAACCTCATGCCATAAGCCAGCTTTTATGTCTAACAATTATCATTCTTTATAACCATGTAAGCAATAATTAAATTTCATGTCTATTTATCCTGCAGTGACACATTCAGACTGGGAAAGCCTGAAAATGAACTTTGGATGTTTCTAAAATTCTGCAAGCAATGACCACCCTGTGGGGAACAAAATGTGGAGAAGGCTGTCGTTTCAGTTATCTTGGTGTGAAGTCTTGGAGAAAGTATGTTAATAATACTTTTTTTCTCTCTCTCCTGAATTTTGTGTCTGTCCCTGCTGATAAACTCACAGGGACAAATGGCTGGGGGAAATGACTTATCGTTGGATTCTGCTGAACAAATCAGCTAAGTTGTAACTTAAGCTGTGCCAAATTCTCCCCAAATATAAACTATATTCTGTGAGAAGAGAAGCACTTTTGAGAAGCCGATGAGCCCTTGCAATAACAAGAGCAATGCTTTGGCCATTACTGCTTCCGAGCTCCACACAGTGCTTTGGAAGTAGGAGCTAGCTTCTAAAAGTTCTCACCTTACGTTTAAGTAACAGCTTATGTCTCAGGGGCATCTGGCCAGTTTTGCTGCACACTTCTAACAATTTGTTTTGCAAGAAAGGCTGTCTTTGAAAGATTTTCGTGAGAAGGAAAATTTATCTCCAAAAGTTGTAAAATGAAGATTAGGCCTGGAATGCATCCTTGAACTTAAATCCTGCTTTATCAACTGATAAATTTTCAGGAAGTTCAAATTTGATTCAGTTACACTTGGATGGACTAATTTGCTTCCTTTTTTATGGGAAGGGAAACATCACAGGGTTCTTTTGAACTGACTTTGTATGCCATCACTTTATCTTGCCCAAGAGGGAAAATTTGCCTTCAAATTCAAATTTTCCTCTTTTTCTTGTACTCCCTGGCATGTAATCAGGAGGTCCCACCTCTGGCAAACCAGCGAAAGTGCCAGTTCTCTTTTTTCTTCATTTGTAATTAACACCACCATATGTTTTATGCTTTTTATTTCATGACAACAACTATCAATTTGCTGATATCCTATGCAAGTTGATGCCTCCCTCTTTATTCTCTACATTTGCTACTGTACCTTTCCTTTGCTGCTGACTGGTGGCTTGTCACCTCCTGCTCTAAGCCCATTGAAGTCTGACTTTACTTATTTATTAAATTGTCCTTTCAGAAATTGACTATTATCTCCTCTTCCTTGTTACAAATTATAGTGGTGCCTATGAGTTGTATTTTGTCAGTAAAAGTGAATATGGCTTTAGTGAGACTGGTTATTACCCAAGGAAGTCAGTAATGGTGATGCTGGGTGTTGCAGCAGCCCAAGGTGAAAATCACTCAGTAACCTGAAGTGAGTGTGCAAGCTTCCTAACCCCCCTTTTCACATTTTCTGCAATGCATCCTGGGTCAGCTACGACTACACTAAGAATTAAAGCTGGCAAATACCAATAATAAAGTCTAAAGAGTGGTAGGGATCTAATACAGGGATTTGAGCATTTCAGTCAAACACTCTGCTACAGACCTGATTCCTCAACTCTAAGATATGTGATCTTTATTAATACAAAAATAGTAACTAAAAGAAGAAAGACAGGGTGAATATACATAAGAAAGTGTTCGAAACAGTCTTTTTCACTATAGAAGAACTATAGAAGTTCCTACAATGATTTAGAAAATGAATAAGAACAATCAGAACCTGAAATGTTTCCATACTAAACAAAATGGCATAGAAATATATTTTGGTGCTTCACTGATATGTTGTTTTCTCTTTGTAAATACTTTGTTTACTCAGTCCTTAAATATGTAATGAGAATATGCTATGTGAAAACACTTCATAAATGCTAGACATTCGGCACAAAAAGAAAAACAAAAACAAAACATAAGTCTAAAGAAAGACTCTTCATGGTTGTTTGAATCCAAGAGTTAATCTTGCATTCCATACGCTCCATGATGTGGCATTTAAAGCTTTTTTTCAGTGGCACTGGGCCTTGAATGCAGGGCCTCACACTTGCTATTTAGGCACTCTATACCTTGAACCACATCTCTAGCCCTTTTTGCTTTAGTTATTTTTCAGATAAGATCTTATCAACCACAATTGTCCTACGTATACCTCCTCCACTGTAGCTAGAATTACAGATATGAGTCACCACTCCTAGCTTGTTTGAGATGGAGTCTTGCTAAGTTTTTCCTGGAGTGGCCTCAAATGAGCTTCAGTCCTTCTAATCTCTTCTTCTCAGCAGCTAGGATTACAGGCATGTGTCACCAAATCTGGCCTTTAAGCCTATGCTCCTGAAGAATAGGGTTTACCTTGAGGAGCAAGTGGCCTGAACAAAACTCAGGTAGACAGTGAGTGGTAAAAAACTTTACCACCTGTTAATATTCTCTTGTTTTCTAGAACTAGAATAATTTTATTATACCTCTTTAATGTTAGGAAAGAGGGAAAAAGATGGAACAACTCGAGTATTGTGCATGGTTCTGTGCCCCCCATTCTTTCATTTCATTTAGAATCTTTTTTTAATCACTGCTAAAGAAAAAAACCACCATATGAAATGAAATTCTTAATCAGAGTGTGTGCTAGAGGCTTTTCTCCATAACAATGAAGCTTTAGAAAACTTGCGTGAGTAATAACTATTCTGTATCTTATAATAAAGCTTGAAAGCAAACTCCCAAGTGTTCCTAATAAGTATAAATCTTAGTCAGGCATGGTGGGTCATGCCTGCAATCCTAGCTACTTGGGAGGCTGAGGGAGAGGATGGAGGTTGGAGGCCAGCCT